AGTGAATTTGCTGCACTAGACCCGGAGTTGCGTATACAAATTGAAGGATATCGACCAGGCCTTTATGTTCGTTTGGGTAAGAGGGAAATATCTAGTTTAATAAACCGCAGGCATGAAGTTTTTTAAGATAAACACTGACTCTGTCACAGTTTACATAAAACACGTTTTATCTATAAAACTACTCATCATCTCTGAAATTGGATAAACATGACTTATGACTACGGATCATATATTTTATACCTACTTAATGTTCTTTCTAATTGAATTTTACATATTGTTTTAGGCTTTCGAGCTATACCTGCCGAGTTCATAGAAAACTTTGATCCGAGTTACCCAGTACTGGTTGGTGGGTTGAATATGACCGAAGAAAATATTGGCTATGTCAACTGCAAAGTAAAAAAACATCGATGGTACAAAAAGATTTTGAAAACTGGCGATCCACTTATAATTTCTTTGGGCTGGCGTCGTTTTCAAACCGTACCAATATATGCGAAAATAGAAGATAACTTCCGACATAGGTATCTGAAATATACACCAAATCATGTAACATGTAGCATGACTTTCTGGGGCCCAATCACTCCACAAAATACCGGTTTCTTAGCTTTACAAACAGTACGCCACGATCTAGAAGAAATGAAGAGACTCGGCTTTCGAATTGCCGCCACAGGTAGCGTCAGTGAAATGGATAAATCAGCGCAAATAATGAAAAAGCTAAAGTTGGTGGGCCAACCATTTAAAATATATAAGAAAACGGCCTTCATTAAAGGAATGTTCAATACTGCTCTTGAAGTGGCGAAATTCGAAGGAGCTAAGATAAAAACTGTTTCTGGAATACGCGGTCAAATCAAGAAGGCACACCACGAACCAGAGGGTTCATTCCGTGCAACGTTCGAAGACAAGATTCTCTTGAGCGATATTGTCTTCTGCAGAACGTGGTTCCGAGTGGATGTGTCGCGATTCTATACACCCATCACCTCGCTTTTGCTGCCTCCAGACCAGAAGTCGCAGTGGCAAGGCATGAAGACCTTGGGTCAGCTGAAGCGCGAACGCAATATTCATAATCAAGCGCAATCAGATAGCCAGTACATAGAAATAAAGCGAGAACCGAAAATATTCAAACCACTTACGATACCCAAAGCTTTACAGCGAGCTTTGCCATACAAGGATAAGCCGAAACTAGGACCACTAACAGACAAAAAGACTCAGGAGTTGGAGCGCATAGCTGTGATACGCTCGCCTCATGAACAAAAGGTTGCAAAGATGATGAATATGATTGAGACCAACTACAAAGACAAGAGAAAACGTGATAAAATGGAAACCAAGATCCGTTTGAAGCAGTTTCGTGCGGAAAAGCGTATTGAGGAAATGAGAAAGATGAAACGTCAAAAGGAGGTGCGAAAGAAAATCTCCCGTGCTATAAGTAAAATGCGTAAAAAGCAGGATACCTAAAAAATTGTGTGACCATTGATTACATTAGTATGTATAGGCTTTTGTAAGTACTTTGATTAGAAAAAATAAAAGCAAACAAGTTTTATTTAAATATTCATAGTATATTTGCATTGTGGCTGGGTTTCTTTATTCATTCTGAACGTTTTGAAAAAAACTTTTTTGTTTACTTGTTCTTTAGAATGTTGCTGATGATGCTGTTTATTCTGGCTGTGAAATAGGATTATCTGGAATGTATAAAGAAACGCAGCCTGTATGTACATATAAAAGCAGCAACAAAAGTTTGTGATTAAAAATCACAGACATAGATATAAACTAGCTATTTAGTCCTGACTCTTGTTATCGTCGATGGCTTTGAGCGCAGCAAGCAATTTGTTTTTACGATTGCTAGGCAGATTCTGACCCAAAGTGATGCTACTTCGCTTTTTTGGGGTTTCATCTAATAGAACTCCACTATTGGCCTGTCGGCAAAACGTGTCCAGAAAGGCCTCTCGCTCTTTGTAGTCATGGGAGATTTGTTTGCGTATGCTGGAAATCTCTTCCTTCATGTGTGAAGTTTTCTTGGCGGTATGGCAGACCTGTTAATGTCATATGCAAAACAATTAGAATGACAAATCAAAAGTTAATATAAAGATTGTTATTATAAACACGTTAAAAACAAATTTCATGTAAAATAGTAAGGAACGAAACAACCACAATGAAATCAAAATGCTCATCAAGCTACGATATTCAAAATGCCTTCCGTTATAAATCTTTTTCGTTAATTTTTATTTGAAACATAGCTCATTCTATAACAAAAACCGTACAAATCAATGTTGCAAGCTTTCTACAAAACTCAGCGAATTTTAAAAAATGGTCATCAAAATTTCAAACATTCTAATCAGATATTTTTGAGTATGCCGCCCCACCATCGTACAGTTCCATAAGTAAAGTAACTCTTCTTACCGTTTTTCCTGGCAGGCTGTAGGTACCTAAAAGACTTGTTTTTACTTAGGAAACTGTACGACTGTACCACTGATTTTTGACAATTTTTTTCGCTGACGGTATCACCCTTTTTCTTCCATACAAGTACATAGGAATTAATTTTGTTCATGGATTGTATGGAAGAGAATTAAAAAATCTGATAAAAAAAGTTTAAAATTTTATGGCCATTCATCAAAAATTATCTTTACTCCCTTTAGTCGCCGTAAAGCAAAGACCGCAATGGTTCTGGTGGTTGATTTAACGGTTGTTTGACTGTGATCCCTTGAGTCTCCGAATCACTTAACCACCTTGCGGCTCTTTTCTTGCAATAGTATTGCCCCTACCGTTACCAATATATATCACGTTGGTGACGCAAATCGGATCATAAATACGATTTTTAGTAATAACTCGACTTCAGCGCCACCTGGCGAGCAATTTTCGCAGAAATATTTCCCTTCGTGTTACCAATACATATTTGGAATATTAGCAAGATCAGGTCATACATGCGATTTTAGTATAAACTCGACTCCAGCGCCACCTGGCTTTAAGCTATATATATATAAAATTTAACGAAAATCGGACCTGCCGTTCGCGAGATTACCTGTTACAAAACTAACTTTATAGTAAAAAACTAATATGTTTAAAGCAAGCTTTCATAAATACTGGTTTACAAATATAGCGACTTCTGCGCCACCTATCGGAAAATTGTTTAGTAGAGTTGTTCCTTCTCATGTAGTTAATATACTTCCTAAATATGAACCAAATCGAACTGAAACTACGGGTTTTAAAATATCTCGACTCCTGCGCCACCTATCGGATTAACTTAACTTTCGTATTGCATTGTCATCGTATTCTGAACCGACTTTGAAGTTTCATCTCTCTAGCTCATCGGGAAGTTGATAAAAAATGGATTGCAAGATTTGCCCCTAACAAACAAACTTACATACATACATACATACATACATTCATACAGAGCGAGTTAAATAAAAGCTTGTAAAAAGGGACTTCTCTTTATATCATTAGTACCTATAGATGAGCTATATTTTAAATACAAAATAACGAGAAAGATTTATTATGGAGGACAACAACAAATACTTCTGTGAGTTACTGTATGTATAAATACAAGGGAGGTCTTTAAATGTAGGAAGCAAATTTTTACATCAGATTTCCTAAGCCACCACCCCTTAGTCGTTGCTACTATAGTCGAAGATATCATATAAATTTTGGTCCAGATTGGAGACGGTTAAGGCCAGAGACCATAACGATTATAAGATATAAAATTAAATATTGCTCTATAATTATTAGTGAACAATGGAAAAGTTTCTTTCGTCTCGCGGGACGATTATTTTAAAATGTAAATTATTTTCGTCATCTCATAATAATTATGTTGGACTTTTATTTTTTTCGTCTCGTGGGACGTTTATTTCAAGACGGAAATGATTTACGCCTTCTCCAAATAATTATATGGGAGTTTTATTGAATGAACTTCTTAATTGAGTTCGGAGATTCGACGCGTTAAATATTTAATGCCACGATGGTTCACTCATGTCATCAAATCTGTATCGTTCGTTCGATTTTCAAAAATGTGGTGTCAAAATAAAGGGTTGCCAGATGTTGGCAAATTAAATTCCAATAATCGAACTCGCAGCTATTTGCGTTTAATTTCGTGAAATCGGCAGTACATGTACCCATTCTATTAAGAGAAAACGTGGGACGTAAATTACTGTCGTCTTGAAACAAACGTTACGAGAGACGAGAAAAATAAAAGTCGCATATAATTATTATGAAAATACGTAAATCTTTTCCGTCTTAAAATAAATGTCCCACGAAACGAAAAAAAATGAAAGTCCCACATAATTATTATGAGAAGACGTAAATAATATTCGTCTTGAAATAAACGATATATAGATATTTCTCGTAAATAATAACTATACAAAGAGGAAAAAATTTCTCTTAAAACAAGGCGACGTTTTTGATCTCAAATATTAGATTTAAAAATTTAAAATTAACTTTTTTTCTTCCAATACCCAATCGATACTCCTGTAGTCGCAGATATCACATATAAATTTTGGTCCCGATTGGAGACGGTTAAGGAGTGTCGCACAGGGTTAAAAATTCAGATTACCCTATGAAGATGTCTTGATCGACTCCAGTCGGGACCAAAATTCATATGTGATATTTTCGACTATGGTAGTATCGATTTTGGGTATTAGAAAAAAAAAAAAACTGTACTGTACTTTGCCTCCTGCTCGACACGCCTGCTCTATGGTTAGCTGGTGAGACTAGATTTCGAGAATTATTTCCAGCGTTGTCGTTGGACATGAGAGCAATGCTCCATGTCTAGAGTAGTGATTGAGACCCAGACTACCTGTTCATAGGTAACTACATATATCGCTACTTTTATATAGAAAGGACCTATCCTACAAAGCCGTAACTAACTAAAAATCCAAAATTGACTTTTTGATTTATTATGATGCATTTATTCGAATTCTAAGTCCCCACATCGTTTTATGCGATAAAAAATTTAGTTAGTTACGCTTTGTTTGCATTTCAGCGAGGATGTGAGATAGGACCTTTCTATAATATGTATGTACGTAGTGGAACAACACCCTAACACAAGATCGCCCCTCATTAAGTCCACTAGGTGAGGCCGTCTGGATGTTACTAATCCCTGGAACCTTGTATAGCTCAAATGAGCCCAGCGCCTACATGACTGGTTACTGGGTGAAAATTTTCCCCTTGATTTTGATTTGGAATTAATTTTACAATACTTACAACATCCCGTTCATCATCATCATCATCTTCACCGTTCTCGTCATTTAAGCTTTCTAGTGCTTGTTCTTCCTCTCCCTCTACTAAATACTTGGCGTTAAAGGTGCCACGTGGTACCACTTCGTCGTCGTCCGCTTTTCGGCTGGAATCACCATTGACCTCCTCTTCCTCTCCCTCATAATCTCCGTCCACCTCGCCAAGCTCTTCATCACCGTCCCCTGTGTTATCATATTTACGGCCGCTTCGATTGTTCTGGCGGCGATCGCTAGCTCCCGGGAACTCGCCGTTGTGATCGTTGTCATATTCAACCTCGTAATCTGTTATGGCGGCGAGATGTTCATGCGCCGGATCATCCTTTTGTTGTGTTTTCCTTTGGTATCCTTGTAGCAACTGCTGTCGGGCTAATTGTTGCTGCCTTGTCACAGGTCTTAGGCCGCCGCCGCCTTCCTGTCGCTGCTTTCGCGACTTACCCACTGTGAGAGACGAAGCTGTTTTGCGATTTCCATAGCCCAAAGAGCTTTCGGCTGTAAAATTATTTGGACTTTTGGCTGAACGTTGACTTCCGGGATCGAAATTTGCATCTAGATCTTTCTCATCTTCATCTAATACCTCATCTGCCAGAATCCGCTCTAAATCTTTTTCCAATTTTGATTCGTCTGTGGGGTTCGTTGTACGTCGTCCCACGCTGAGTGTGGAAAACTTATCCTACAAATATGAATATAATGAAAGCGCAGTAATCGAATGCCTACTCCAAACTTACACCTAATTCGTCTAGTTTTCGATATCCCGATAGCTCCAATCGAGCCTTTTCCAGCTTCATCAAAGCATCCTTTGTTCGCTTTTGTTCGGTAAGTAATTGTTGTTTGAAATTTTTGGTCTCGATTTGAACTCGACGTGCCAGTAGCTTCATGTCGTTATCCTTCTCCTGTAAACGAGTTTCAAGCTTTTCCAACTTCTCGGACAAACGCTGTCTTTCTTCAAGGTTCCTTCAAACATTTTAAAGATAAATTAATTAGCATAGATGCGCTGAAGAAGATGCAAAAGAACCTATGCCGATAAGGACTCAATTGAGATCTGCTGGATCTACAGTGTGGTACAATCGGCACTATCACTTTTTGATAGTTGATATTGTCGGCGGCGCTCAGGGAAAAAGTAAATAAATACGATAACAAATATTTTCCACCGAACTTGATTCAAAGAACAGCAGACGATATCACCCCTCAAATTAAAAGGTCAGGCTGTGTAATGCGCATGAAAGTCGCTGTATTAGGCGGATTTCTGACAAGTCTTAAAGCGTCAACAGAATGGGTGGTCAGATTGCATACAACAGACAACTGAAGTATCAGTTTCTTGCGCTTTACCTGTACTTTACTTGATAAAAATTACGGCTACACACTTTATTTGGAAAGACGTGCCGGAAAACTCTCAGAAGTAAAGTGAGAAAGCGTCGGGATTTCAGATAGCTGGAGAGTTTAGGACATATTGGGCCCCTTCCCTACAAAATTGAGCTTAAGCTCGCGACTCGCTTTGCAGTACAAATTCTTTAGCTTAAGCTCACTCCATTAGTGTAAAAGTTGAGTCTGAGCTTAAGCTCACTTTTTATGCATAAGGCCCAATATGTTTTCGTCTGTCAACAATATGTTGTCTTTGAGTTTCCGCCAGCGTCTTCACATTTTCCCCGAGCTTTTCTCAAAGACTGGGTTGCCCCAAAACCAAAACGACCTTAAGTGAGACCATATATATAGAAGTAGTATATCGAAAGTTTAAGAAGTAAAATTTATAGTCGCGGGATATCTCAATTTAAAGCCCCAGTGTTGCTTAGTCAGTTCCTATATGTACATACACTTGTATATCCTCACAAGCGCACTCACCTATCCTTATTCAGTTGACTATAGTATTTGTTTTGATCGCTGAGCGTGAGTATTATAGACTCTTTTGCTTTAAGTTTATGCTCGAGCTCCTTGTTGATCTGCTGTAGGTGGCGGTACTTTGCCTGCCACACGCGCAACTCTTCGGCGTGGGAGTGTAAAAGTTTCGGCAATTCAGCATTTGTTGATTCATATTTGGCCAAGGCGGAGTCCTGGCGCTTATGTAACGTGCGTAGGATACGATTTTCATGTGCGAGATCCTACAAACGATACCGTTTATATATGTATGTATATACGATATGAATGGCTAATTATTTTACCGCAATTGTTTGCTGTGCATCGGCCAATTGATTTTGAAATGTTTTCATGCGTAGACGGCGAGCGGATAATACGCGTTGGCGCACTTCTGTTGTGGCGGGTATCAGTGTAGAGTGGCGGCCCATGTTTCCACCTGCACCGCCGACATTGCCGGCGTTTTGCTTGCGCCGATATAAGTTATTAATTGAACTTTTCGAACTGGACGTATTCGAGTAAAGGCTCTCACAGCTCTTTGTGGACACCCTGTATAGGAAAAGTAAATGTGTATGTGTGTACCACTAAAATATGTAATTACAATGCCAAGCGAAGGGACTTACGGCAGCAGTTTGCCACGTTCCTCTGGAATGAGGCTCAATGCAGAGGTTGACTTTCGCGGTGAGACCATTTAGGTTACGTATACGTCCGTCGGCTGTTGTGATACACAATTTTGTTTTTCTAATATACGATGATAAATTGGAATCAACTAGCAAAATATAAACAACGTATTGCAGTTAATAAAATTGAAGTATTTTGTGTGTTTTTCTTTAAAACAATATTTATTAAAACTGATGAAGACACTTGAAGCAAATTTTTTTTTTTTTTGAGAAAGTATTTTCTTTAAGGCTGGTTGTTATTGTTTATTTTTATTCCTTTGGCCACAGGACGACAGGTGAAGCCTTTGACGCTTGCATTCATGTTAATGAAGTTTCCTAGGTTACAAACAACTTTCATCGTCGCTTGGCCGACCAGGCCGCATTGGTGTTAGGTAATATGATTTGTTTTAGGCTTTACCGAGTTTCACTGTGTAATTGAATGTAAGTTTTTTGGAACTTATGCAAAAATCTTAAATAAATTTTCGATTAGAAAATATTTTTTTTGGTCAAGTAGGTATACATTGAAAATAAGGATCTAAGCATTTACGAATTTGCGATCGGGGCTCTCAGTTCAGCAGATCTTGGTGAAAATTACGCATTTAATAATAATAATAATAGATTGGCGATCCGAATTGTGGCGTGTGCCTTGATGTTGTCGCACAAAGGAGAGGGATCTACAGTTTTACGCCGACTGTGAAATGCGGTGGTATTTCTATGAACACTTGTTTTTCATGGCAGAAATACACTCGGAGGTTTGCCATTTTCAGCCAGATAAACTTTATTTTTTATTTTATTTATTTGGCTTCCCAAAATGGTCAAAGCAAATTTTTTTCCAATTTTTTCCTAATCTATGCAAAATTTTTGACCCTCATTTCTTCCATGGTTTGATAAAAAGTTTAATAAAGTTCAAATTCAAATTGTTATCCATGCGTTTCTCAAGTGGGTAACTCAGATTATTTTGCATACCACAAATGTGCCCTTTTGTTTGAGAGTGGGTTGGTCCTCCAATTAAGGTTCACTGGAAAATCGACATTGGAAATTGGAAAATGTATTCGATCTCCTAAAAACTCTGTATCTTCCTACAAAAAAAAACTTTTAAATCAATTTTAATAAATCTCTTAAAACAACAAAAAGCAAATTTGTTATGATTTCTATCACAAAAGTATCGAATAGCCAGTTTCACGAAAACAATTTACTTAAGTGAGTGAAAAATGATTTTTTACTTTTATTTTAATTTAATATGGAAACTGACAGAAAAAAAATAATTTTTCCTTAAATTGCAGTAAAGATTATTAATGAAAAATAATTACGGTTTTGATAAAAGGTAAAAATTTGATTCGTTTAAAAAAAATGTAGTGAGATAGAGAACAGAATATATAAGTTAAGTTACATATATTAGTTCAATTTTTAAGACTATTAAATATGATTTGTTATAAATGATACGATTACGATCTTTTTCATAGCCCATTAAATTTTAGTATACAAATTTGAAGTGGCTAAGGATTCGCGTTGATTTGTAATATTTTTTTTTGCAGGCGGTTCTACGCATTTTTCTCTATACAAAAAAGAGTTATAGAAATCAGTTCCAAAGTTATGCGGTAACATAAATAATAAAAAATAAAAAAAAATATTCCGACGAATTGATAATCTCCTCCTTTTTTGAAGTCGGTTATAAATTGGGGTGTTTTTGAAAGGGAGGGAACTGAGCTACAACTTAAAAAAGGAGTGAAACACCTTCGATCGGAGAGAAAACGGCAACGCTGCTTATGATGACATTTTTGGTACTAAAAGCTGAAAGAAATGTGGATTACCTCGTAAGGCGCTTACCTTTTTCCCAGTGGAATTATTCGAAGTTAGTAGGAAAACATGCATATTTGCAGTTTTCGTATAAACACAGACGAGTGAATAAAATAATTAAAATTTTTTTCGTGAAATAATTAATCATACTACAAAAACGTTAAAAATCGAATGGCATTAGAATTATTGTTTAAGCATTTTAACCGACAATTTTTTTCCATCGCCAGCCTTTTATTTATCACAAAACACCGATATCTGTCACATTTAACTTTGCCTGGCAATTCGGCCGCCGGCTCCCCCATTTCCTCCCCCGCACTCATGGACGCACTGGAGCAAAACAAAAGATGAATTCGCCTCAAAAAAAGCTCACGTAAACACCAACGAAAGCCACAGCGCGAGCGTGTGGAGCACACATTCCGATGGAGCGCCTAGCTTACACAGCAGCAGCTGTTAGTTGGCGCTGCCAGTCTCAACACAAACGCGGCGCGTGCATGGTCAACTACGGAAGCGAGCGGTAACGAGTGATGTGAGTGGCCGAAAAAAAAACAATAGGAATAAACGGAAATACATATACACAAAAGTTTGTATTACGTTGAAGTGTCATTAAGGCAAACTACGAACGCATCACTCTACGAGTATCAACGGCCAAGACGGTAAATTGCTATACATATATAGTAAAGAATCATACGTACGAGTACGCAACTAAAGTTGTAAATACTTAACTGAAATTAAATACATGAACGCGTGTACAATAAGAGTAAGTACCTAATTACCTCTGAGCACGAGCCAAGAAGTGAAAAACCGCACACACGGTAATGATGGACGAGAGACTAAGCAAACGCCACCAACAACAACGAGAATGGCTATTACGACGTCGACGTCGACAGCGACATCGACGTTGACGTTAATGTTCTCTGGCGATGATGTGAGCAAAGACACTTGCTGTTAAATGCGAATCGAAGAAGATTTGTGAAAAACATAATTGTAAAAAATTCTTTCCCATCAAAAAAACAACTCTCATTAATTCCCAAAATTCACTGTGAAAAACTCGTTAACATTCGTAAAAAGAAGTTAAAATAATACAAAAATTGCTCATACATATTTGCAAAAGCTGTTTAAATGAAGTAAAATAGTGAAAAGTGGTGAATGGTGCTCAATGCCTTTGAATGAAAGAAAAGGGAGAGAAAAATTGAAAGGCGGATCCGGGAAATGCGAAAAAATCGATGACGTTGTTTAAATTAAATATCGTAGTTAAGACTGTGTGGAAAATAGTTTCAATATCAAAAGTGGATTTCGGTGGGCGTGATTAGTTAAAAAATGGTTTCGTGTTGTTGGCAAACATGTGTGGTATGATTGGCACCTGTCAGATACGCTCTGCTATTGTAGATGCTGCTGCATTCTTAAATTTGTACCGACATAAATATGTGTATGTATGTAAATATGTACCGACAAATATATGCACACACGCATTAGCCTGTAGGAAAATAAATTTGACGTCTACTTGCGGGTCTACTATGGGAGGAAAAGCTTTACCTTCCATAAAATTGTTTAAATACAGAAGGCTTAAATCAATAATCCTATTTGCTATGAGAAAAGGTCTTTAACTGCATTCAAAACGGTACTTTTTTTGCTGAACAATCAGAGCAATTAAATAAAACTAAGGAAGTAACAAACTGTGCTGAAATTGTTGTATGTTGTCACGTATGTAGGTGGTCATAATGAATTCGCTTGAGGAAGCTGAAGTAGAAATTCGGGTTTGAGAAAAATTTCAATTTATTATATATATTTATATATTTATTACAAAAATAAAAAGTAAAGTAAATACATTTCTGATAATAAACGTCAGAGTAGCGCAGACGATGGGGAAAGGGAGCATAAGTTGTTGCAACAGTTGCAGATGGGCATTTTCTGCAAAAAACAACGCGTTAATATGTAATCAAATGCGTGAATGTATACACCATATGGACATGTACATACATACATATGTATATATGTACATACATACATAAGAGTGCAGAAAATATGTATGTAAAGAAATGCCGTCGCTGCACGCGTTTGCCATCAGAAAAAAGATAATGAAAAAAAGTAAAGAGTTACGGCAAAAACCTGTTGGCATTTTTCATTACATTTGTTGTTTTTGTGCATTTAACTTGTGTAATTGGGCTTAGCCTCCAGCGCTTGCGAAACGGATTTTCAGTAGGTACACGAATGAAGTGGAATTGAAGTGTTTTTCTATTTGCTTATTTTGTTGCAGCAATAAAAAAGGACGGTAAACAACAAAAACGAAAATATATGTACATACATATGTACATACATACAAACAAAGATATTAACAAATAAAAGGAAAACAAATACATTTTAAGAAAATTACTAAATATCACAAGAGCTGTGCAACCGTCAAAACAAAACACAATGACGCGTCTCACCGAGGAAATGGTCATTGCCCGCTCAAAGCAATCCGATTTGGGGTCCATCAAAAAACTCAACTGCTGGTAAGTGAATATACATACATACATATGTACATATGTATCAGGGTAGACAACTAATTTTTGAGAATTCCCCGATTTTGCCCGAAATTTCGTAAAATCCCCCACCCATAGATATCTCCTTACTTACAAAAAAAAAATAAAAAATAAAAAATTATGTATCTTTCTCTTTTGTATTTTTAAACGTAATTAATCTATGTGTTGATAAACCAAACCAAACTTTTACAAAGGTAGTTAACAAATAAAGAATAAAAAATATTTATGTATGTAGATAATATTTACATACATACATACAGTGGTCAAAAATATTTACTCGCACCAATTATCATTATTTTTTGTTATTTAATTTGCGTTATTTTTTTTTATAAAAATATAGTTTATTCTTTAACAAAAACTGTATAAATCCAAGTTTCAGACTTTGTGCAATATTTCAAAAAAAAAATCAACAAACTTTCGTAAAAATTTCGCGCTTTTTAACTGGAGTTTCTGTAAATATTTTGAGTATGCAGTTTTTTAGCCCACTCTATTCTAGAATAATAAATTGCAAGTTTTAAATGGCTACAAATTTCCGTTTTAGGATTTTTTCCTAAGTTGTTGCGTTGTTTTATTCCATATAAAAATTATATTATGTTCATTCGCTATATGAAAGCAAATGCAAAGAAAATTCTAAAAAATCAACGGTAATTTTTAGCCATTTGAAACTTTGTTATACTAGAATTGAACGAGCCGAAATTCCGCACAAAACACGGTCCATTTCCCGATTCCCCACGCAAACTGAAATTCCCTGCAAATCGGGGAACTCCCCACGAGTTGGCTTCCCTGATATGTATGTACAGTATCGGTCATATCAATGATGTATGTTCAATGTAATTTTAAAATGTTTTTGTTTAAAAATATTGTTTTGTCAAGGTTTTCACCAATCGTGTAAGTCTTTCTCCTAGAATTCTGCCTGACACAGAAAAAACTATTTCAATAGTTGCTGAGCTAGCTGGTATGTTAAAAATTTGTCTTGAAAACCTTCTAAGGGGTGGAAAATCTTTAACTTCCTCCCAAAATTTTAAAACACCGTCACAACTTTTGTTTTCTGATTTTGTCAATTAAATCTGTATTTCCGCATTAATTAATGACTTCAAAAACTGTTTCTGCAGATTCATCTGTTGTATCTTTGAATGCGTCAAAAGTGAATACGGTAAATAGCTTAAACAGTAGTAGTTTACGATTTGATTTTGGTTGAAAATACGCATATATTTGTACCTACATACATATTTATATACACACATATCGAGCCCTGACCGTCAAAAAGATGGAAGCGAAATTTTTAAAAATTTTAATTTTGATGTATAAATGCATCTGGATGCTCTTAGAACATTTCTGCATCAACCGTGACACGACGTACATAACACATAGTTATGAATTTTTCATTTCATTAAATTGCTCATGCACATATAAGTATACTTATACACATATTTACATACACATGAACCCACTGGAAAAAGGTAGTATTTGGGAGTGCAAAAAGTAATGGATAGCCTCTTTAACCTACGCACGAAAAGATGCAAGAATTTCTCTACAGCGTTGTCATACGAAAGTAATGTGTCACGTGTCGTTTTACGAAACTATAAATATAGATGTATCTAATATATGTATATATAAATAGAATAAAAAAAAAATTAAATTCCATGCCACAGGTTTTGAACCCGTGACCAAGAACACGGCAGTCGAACACGCATCCATTCGGCCACGGCAGCTGTTGAGATAACGCGAAAAAAAACATACTTCAGTTAGTTCTCAAACTTTTTTTGTTAGTGGCGTCAAAACTACACATTATCCGCTCGGTTCCATTGCGATTAGGGATGGCAAAAAAATTATCGAATAATTAATCATATGATTAATCACAAGCCAAAAAAATTAATTGCAATTATTGAGAAATAATCGATTAATCGAAATTTCAATGGCACTTTTTTTATAGTGAGTATTCACAAAAAACTTTTCTATAAAAAATTTCTAATTCTCTTGTTACTTAGCAGTTATTATTTAAGCATAAGGGTAGCCCTTTGCTTGGTACCGGGTGATGAGGGTTTTGATGGCAATCGCGGCTGTAGCACAAGTTTTTGAAAAAAGGCTCTCAGCAGGCACCGAGGTACCAACTAAATGACAATATTTTTTCCAATGTGCGTAAAGTTTTGGGTAATTCCTCCCAAGCAAATTCAATCACATAACGCGGTATGTCTATGGGCTACGTAAATATGATCGCATATCGGCATGTAGATCTCAGCTCTTAGGGTGTGATATTTTCAAATGCCAGAAAATTTTAGAACCGTTATTTTCTTATTCCATCTCATTTAAACCAAAACACCTTCTTATCTGCATGACAAGCTCATTTTTAGTAAATCTATCCTGTCTGGAAATTTAATTGTACCAATTTTTATTTATGTAATGTCTACAAGGCTGTTCTTCGTAAACGCTATACGTATTTGGAATGCCATTCCAGCTGCTACGAGAAATATTGTAAACCAAGGCAACTAATAAGCATCTCCTATATAACAATTTTTCAGAATAGCTTTCCGGCCATCTACTTTAGCACTAGGTTTAACTAAACTCTAAAACCATTTTTGGTTTTTTTTTTTTGTTTGCCTTTGTTCTTGTACATAATTGATAAGGATTTCGTTTGAGCCAACATATAATTTTTCATTTTAGTTATTGGTTTTTCTTTACCCATATAAACCGAAAAAGCATCTGTGAAGTGTTACGCACAAAAAAATACGCCCTTCTTTGAACTGTTCTCCAGTAAACGGAAACGCAATGCCTTCCAATTGCTCCCATTTCATATAAAAAATAATTAAGGAAATCATGCAGATGGTAAGGCCCTCTACATTCCAGAGACGGCCCTCTGTAATTGCTTTCCAACTCTTCTTTTTTCTACTGGGTATATTTGTATGTATCAAAAAATTTGTAGGCAATCTTATTTGAGCACATTAAACCAATGTTTGTTGTTGTTTCTTTGATTGCTGATTCAATTGCAATATTATCAACGTTCTTATGGTTGTACGTATGTATGTATGTATGTATCTCTATTGTACGCTGGTTTGCGGCATCTAACAGACGGTGTCATTGCCTTCTGTCCAGCAGAGTCTTTATGTCAACGCTGCCCATTTTATTATGAACGCCCGCGCTGTGGTCTGTTGCGCTTTATTCATTGTCCACTGAAGCGGCAATTGCAACTGCATTTCAGTGTTTGTCGTTGCATACATAACTACATATACATATGTATCTGTTTGTGATGGATTTAATTACTTTGCACTGTTGACACCCGCCCTAGTGAATACATAATATGTACATATGTAACGGGTGATTTTTTAAGAGCTTGATACCTTTTTTTTTAAAAAAAACGCATAAAATTTGCAAAATCTCATCGGTTCTTTATTTGAAACGTTAGATTGGTCCATGACATTTACTTTTTGAAGATAATTTCATTTAAATGTTGACCGCGGCTGCGTCTTAGGTGGTCCATTCGGAAAGTCCAATTTTGGGCAACTTTTTCGAGCATTTCGGCCGGAATAGCCCGAATTTCTTCGGAAATGTTGTCTTCCAAAGCTGGAATAGTTGCTGGCTTATTTCTGTAGACTTTAGACTTGACGTAGCCCCACAAAAAATAGTCTAAAGGCGTCAAATCGCATGATCTTGGTGGCCAACTTACCGGTCCATTTCTTGAGATGAATTGTTCTCCGAAGTTTTCCCTCAAAATGGCCATAGAATCGCGAGCTGTGTGGCATGTAGCGCCATCTTGTTGAAACCACATGTCAACCAAGTTNGTACATATTTACATACATAAATAAACACGTATGTACATACAAATACTGAGAATCTACATACATGTAAATATGTAAATTAGTCGCAAACAAAAATGTGTAGTAGTTACGCTTGGCCAAATCCTTCGAATGGCGTTGACCTCGAACTAAAATCTAAATCAATACAAATATGTGCAGCCTATGCATGTATAGCTGTGCGCAAAATAATAGTAGCACTCTATGTGAACTCTTTTTTTTTCTACGTACAAAGTAAAGACATCCACGAAAATTTCAAAATTAAAAATTTCTTTCAAATTATTGTTGCTTTTCCACAATAAATTTTCATTAAAAAAAAAAAAAACGGCCTCGAGCTCAATAAAAATTGTTATAAGGCCAAAAAAGTAACAAAAACAAAATTAAAAAATATTTTTTTAATCGCAAAAATTCGACGAGATTATGAATTTATATATGAATAAGTTACAATTATATGTAAAATTTATGAGATTTCAAGACAAGATCTTGTACAGTTTTTGCGATTTAAGAAAAAAAAATCAAATTTTTTCCCGCCCTGTTAGTGAAACAATTTTTTTTTATTTAAAAATTTTTTTGTACTTAGAACAAAATAAAAGGGTGCCACCCTAGAGTATGGATATAAATATGTACATATAGTATACATAAGGTTGTTAAGTCGAAAAGGATAAAGCTACTTCTCTTATTTATTCTCGTTTATATTCAATGAAAGTTAAATGTGCTAAGTCCAAAAGAAGCACCGAAAATCCGATAAGTTCAAAAATAGTACCTACGACATCTTTTATTAAAGATCGAATCCATCTGATTCATATGGAGTTTTGCTTTACTTTAAACAGCCAAAATGTTGTATTCAAAGTTTTACGAAATACTTGAAGAAAATGGTTATAATTTTTAAAATGGGACCTAGCAATTTTTCACTCTAAGTTAGTGATATATGTGCATATGTATGTTAAATAAATAAAAATAACTTAAAACTTAAGAAAAAAACTACCATGTTTAGTCATGTCTTTGAAATGGACCCTAGCAGTCTCTTCTCTACATACATACATTCAAGGGATAATTGTGTGGGGTGGGGTGATTGGAGAAATGGATCCTTTTAGCGAGAGGTCTCCATTACATCAAGACTAAATTCAGGCTCCCGGGCCGCTGTAGTGTCTCTCGGGAAGCAACAAAGAACTCGACTTATACAAAGTATGTTCGACAATTTTTTTATATGAAAAAAAATGCGGAGCACCGTCAACAAAAAAAAAAAAAATGGCAAAAATCAAGGGTAAGTCCTAGATACTTACAATTTGCACTTTGTTAACTTAAATTTGATGTGCTACAAAACTGAATACCAAAATTTTGTCTAAAGATGCTGATCAAAAAGTTAGAAATTTTGGTCAAACTTTGCAGAATTTTCATATTTTGTGGTTGTTCAGTAATCAGCTATACTTTCATAAAAAAGTAATAAATATTAAATAAACTAAAGAAAAATACCCAAAACTTACTAAATGTCGCGTCCCAGTTTTTATTTGATTCACTGTATGTGTGTCTCGGTAACTGATTTATCAATTTGAACCAAATGTAGTACAATTATCGACCTTGGCATAAAAAAGCTATGTATATATTGAACATTTTCGAAATCGGACTAAAATTACGCCCACTTTCCACTTCCAAAAAAAACGCGTAAAACCGTTAGGAACGTATGGTGCGCTGAAGGAACGTATACCAAAAATTTCAGATATGTGCTCACGATTTAAGAAAAAACATTTTTTCACAAACAATTCGAAACTTGTCACATTCATCCGTACCGAGTTCCGGTACTTCATCGCAAATACTTGCAGATGTATGCGGTGTTCAAAAATTCAGTATCTATGTATGTACGGTTGTGACACGCCCACTTTTCCAATAAGATATTTTCATGTGGTAAAATGGAACCTGTAATTTAAGTAAGACCTGTAGCAATACACAAAAGGAATCGAGATAGATATAGACAAATGCATACATAAATGGTCAGAATGAAGGCAGAACTCGATTAAGCCATGCCTGTCTGTCCGTCCGTCTGTCCGTGTACACTATAACTCGAGCAAAGATTGAGATATCTCAACGAAATTTGGTATTTAGGTTGCCCTTTATCCAAGGTAGGTTGCTATTGAAAATGGGTGAAATCGGACTGTAACCGCGCCCCCTTCTCATATAACGGTATTTTCGAAAAATGCAAAAACTACGATATTTCAGTAAATATTGAGTCCAAATTCTTGAAAATTAGTATGTGAAGTAGAATTTTAGTGCAAAAAAATATTATGAATTTTTTGGAAAATGGGCGTAACCCCGCCCACTTATGATGAAATACTGTATCTCAGTAGCCGCTTCACCAATCCTTACCAAACTCGATACGAGCCTTTCTTAGGGTACATCTAGTCATCGGGCAATAACCACGCCCACCTCTAATTACCGTTATGTAATTTACTGAAAAACGAAAATTGCGATAAATCAGTAACTACTGAAGCTAATTGACTCAAAAGCGACTGTCGCAATAAACACTTGGCATAGAATTCGATTATTATAAATTTGTGGATTTTGAGCGTGGCGCCGCCCACTTATGATCACAAATGTGTATATCGATATCCGATTTATCAATTTCTACCAAATTCGTTGAAAATTATTCAAATCCGTCGAAAATTACACTCTTTTCCCGTACAACGATAAATTTGCGATATACGAAAACTTCGATATTTCAATAACTGAGTACGCTCATTTACTCCAAGTTAATATTGACTTGCAACAATCTATTAACAATAAATAAGACTGTTACACATTTTTAGGTAGTTTAGAGAAAGTTGAAACGACGCCCGAACATTTGTTAACAGTAAAACCCGCTTTAGGTACCTCACGAAAAATGTCAGCTTTTTGAGGTACTTAGGCGGGTTGGGTACTTAAAAGAACCCGCTTAAGTACCTCGATGCCTCGATGCGGGTACTTAAGCGAACATAATTATTGATGTGGTTACATCTTTTTGTTAACTTCGTCAGATTACATTTTTTTCTTCAGATTACATTCAAAAATTCACATTGCTCAAAAATGTTGGTTACTTAAGCGGGGAGGTACTTAAGCGGGTATCACTGTATTTGTTTTTTTTTATGTATGAAAACTTAAGAATACCGTTAATTCTTCTTCTAGATTATAATTCAAAAAGAAGTCATTAACAGTTGACGGCAGAGTTTAACTGGTAGCCCTAGGTCAGAGTGCATTTGTGGCACTTATTTTTATACAATTTTGTTTTCGAACTTTCTCCTTAGCACGAATGAGTTTCAAGGTGGAAATCTAATTTTTGTGTTATTTTTTTGTGTTTTTTTTTTGTTGAGATGGATCTTTATATGTTTGTTGCTTGTTGTCGCGTTGCGTGGCATACGAACATACAATTTTCCCAGCTCTTATACATGCAATTTACTAGTAAATAAACACATTACATATGTACATACTTATGTATGCAGTAAATATTTATGCAAGTAATTTCTTAGTGGAATTTAAACAGAAGTTACTGCATACTAATGTATAGCGTACCCTGCAGGGAAACGCCAAACTACTAAACCAAGTTTCTAGGTCCGTACTAGAACTTTATAGGGAAAAACGAACTAGTCCCTAGTAACAGTTCAAAAGCAGCGAATTGTGAAACGTTTTCAAAACTTTTTAATTTATTTTACTTTTTAAGACTACATATCACTTGCTAAGAGTGAAAAGTTTAAACGTTTTCTAAAAAATTATATTTTAATGCAAGAAGTAATAACCATTAGAAATGCAACGTTTTCGAAAAGATCGAACTACCTGTTTTCTTTTAACCATCGCTGTTCAGTGCTACGTAAACCCCAAATAGTAAGAGAAATTGTAATAACTCCCAAACAATAAAAAAATATATACCTAAAGTGACGAATTTAGAACTGGTTCGCAACTACATATAGAAAAGCGTATGCAGCGGGGGGGGTTTGTTGACTTTAAATCACAGATGGGGCACTGTCTTGCCCGCGGGCAAAGCTCTTTTAAGCTTCCTTTACATTTTGTATTGGCGCGTGCAGAGTAAAAGCTCTCTCTGCTCATCGCTGCTTTAAATAGATATTTGTTTGGCGGTTCAAATGCGCTTTAATTCTGCACTTCACAGATGCTTTTTCATACATAGTTTATTACCAATACAAAACAAAAATTTTTATTAAAATTTATTTTTATTAAATTCATTGCACATACATCTCGCCAACATTTCACAAAAATCGTAACGAAAGAATGGTTGGAACTACATACATACATATCACTGAAGAATTATACGCTGTTTACATGCGGCAATTTTGGAGGCGATTAGTTGAAATGCTGCCGTTCCTTCACACCCGGTGATTGTTGGTTTCAACTAAAATTTTCCCGTAAAATCGGCTCATGTAAACACCGCATTAGAGTAACAATTATAGTTGTCATAGTGTAACTTTTGTATGTAACTAAATAGTTTCTATTTCGTGTACTAAGTTTTAAGCGCATCTGCAATGAAGCTCTACTTTTGAAGAGCTACTTTTTGGACTTGTACTGTACATATGTTTGTACATAGTATGTGTGTATATACATCGATATGTACATATGCACGTATACATGTACATACATATGTATGTATGTATGTATGTAGTTTCTGGTTCAAGTAATTTTCCCATCTTTAAGCTTTGGAATAAATGTAGAGCGTTCGCATCAGCTAACAAGCGCTTTCCACTTAACCCATTGCCGTTTTTCCAAGCGTGACACACTCGCTTAACCCATACATGAATATGTATGCATGTATGTACATACATACATAGAGATACATAGTACTTACTAAAAATGGGCACTGGGAAAGGCATACCATGGTTACATACAGATAAATTAGTTTCATTCACATATGTACATACATATGTATGTATGAAAGTGTGTATGTATACAAGGTATGTGTCTATAAAACAGGTTTGTCTTCAAGTCCTCGTAAGAATGCAACGCCCGTTGCGACAGAAGCTGAAAAATGTGGATTTTTTTATGTGCAGCTATGCGCTTGCGCCGTTTCACCGTCTTCGAGTTTCGCTTCTTGTTTTCGCTTGATGGCAACTACATAGGTAGAACAAAATGAATCGTGCTATAATTTTAACTTACATATATAATACAACATAAAACGTTAAACTTGGTCTTTAAAAAAAGGTCTAAATAATTACATATGTATGTATGCCTTTTTGTACCTAAATAATTATCTATATTTGAAATTTTACATAGAAAATAATTCTGGATTCCGGGATTGAATGCCTTTGTAGTTACATATGGGTGTTTCCATGATGTCGGACGAGACATTCGTGCGCCTTTACATAGAGTTAAATAAATCATATGAAAACGGAAGTCACTTATAAAAAAAAAATTTGCCGTTGTGTGACACTGAATAGGAATAGAAATAGAAATAGGTAGTTCGATGTTTTTTGAAACGATTTAATTTAAACTGTTATAACTTCCTGCGCCAAAATATAATTTTTTAGATTTCAGTGGACTTAGCAACTTGTCGCTCTAAGCTGACGATATGTATTTATGCAAGCTGACTTAATGGCTTATAGATAAATTTTTGAAATGAAAAAAAAAATAAACAAGTTTTAATTGTACACTTCGATTTTTGTTTTGTTTTCTATTTTCAGGGGAAGTGATCTCAGCGACGTCTCCATAATTAAAAGAATGCGTGGTGTTGAGGTTTTGGCGCTGAGGTAAGATATGTATACATACATACATATGTATATGAGCTGCTTATTTTGAAAGTGGCATAAGTCACTTTTCACAATCTCTTGTGCTTAAATGGCTTAAATGGCCGGTTGCTTTGTATCTGGCTATTCGTTATATCTCATAAGCCAAAGGTTAAATGGTTTTTTCAATAATTTATGACGATAGTATGATTTATAGATGCATTTGGTTACAGGTAACCGGTAATTAAAGCACAAGAGGTGTCAAGTGACCTATGCCACTATCAAAATAAACAAACATGTAAAAAAAAGATTAAAAAATATATTTATTTGTGTAGATATGTATATATTTATATGTACATATAGTATGTATATCGATCGATTAATAATAGAGAATAATTCAAAATTTTAATTTTGTGGCAAAACGCTATCAAAGTTTGATCTACTCATATAGGTATTTGGGTCTTTAGTTATGTCATTCTTTCAGCATACGAGCGACAAACGAGTTGAAAGATTATTATTTACGTAAATAAATACAGGGAAATTAAGACACAATTGGTTTTATTGATTTAAAAGAAACTTTGACTGACAAAAATTAGTTTCCGTTGGGTTGGGAAAATCTCTATTTTGGGAGTGTTTTTGAAAACACATTTCCAAAAGATACGAATAATTTAGTATTTTTAAGTAGTAATTAAGCTGATGTTACGTGCGCACATATATACATATGTACATACATGCGTACAAATACATACATATGTACATATAAAATATCAATGCAAATTGCCAAATTTTGATCTTTCCCCATTCAGATCCACCCATAAACGTCTAATTAAAATTGTATGAGAGTGTAAAGAAACCATTATGTTAATTTGTGGAATTCGTAGAATTTGTCGATGTGTATGCATATTTGTATATACATTAGGGTGGTCCTTAAAAAATCTAATGAGCAATATTTTTCAGTCTCGCCCCCTCAATCGGTAATACCACAGTCACAGATATCACATATAAATTTTGCTACCGACTGGAGACGATTAAGGCGTGTCGCACGGGGGACATGATTCAGGTTCTTCTTTAGAGACTCAAAAAATTTAAATTAATTTTTTTTTTCATCTAATACCCAAATTCGATACTACCATAGTCGAAGATATCACATATAAATTTTGGTCTCGATTGGAGTCGGTTAAGACGTCTTCATAGGGTGATCTGAAATTTGCCCCCTATGCGACACGCTTTAATCGTCTCCAATCGGGACTAAAATTCCTGTGATATCCTCGACTATAGTATCATCGACGTCGGGGTTGACGCTTATAAAATCTTATATAAAAAGGAACAGTACAGCGCCTTCGTCTTGGTCTGCAGGCTGTATCGGAGATACACCCGCTAAATTTAAACGTAGAATACGTGGTATGGTTAAGAGCATATCCAAGTCAAAAACGAAAGCACAAACTAAGAAAAAAATATCGATAACAAAAGCGATAATAAAATCGATAACAAAATCGATAAAAATATCGATAACAAAATCGTTAACTAAATCGATTACAAAATCGATAAAAAATCGATTACAAAATCTATCGAAAAATCGATTACAAAATCGATAACAAAATCGATTCCAAAGTCAATAACAAAATTGATAACAAAATCTATCAAAAAATCCATTTCAAAATCGGTAATAAATTCGATAAAACTATCGATAACAAAAGCGATGGCAATATCGATAGCAAAATCGGTAAAAAAACCGATAAAAATACTGACAACAAAAGCGATAACAATATCTATAGAAAAATCGATAAAAATATTGATGACAAAAGCGACAAAAATATCGATAACAAAAGCGATAGCAAAATTGTTAAAACAATCAAGAAAAATATCGATAACAAAACCGATAAATAATCAATAATAAAATCAATAACAGAATCGATTACAAAATCGATAACAAAATCGATAAAAATATCGATCATTATATCGATAAGTTCCGAAAATATCGATAGCAAAATCAATAACAACATCGATACAAATTTCGATAACAAAATCGGTGAAATATCGGTAACAAAACCGATAAAAATATCGATGGCAAAATCGATTAAAATTTCGGCAACAAAATCTATAAAAATATCGATAACAAAATCGATAGCAAAATCGATAACAAAATCGATAAAAATATCGATAACAAAACCAAACAGATCCACATTAACTGAAACTTTCATATGTACGTATATATGCATTTACATATGTACATAAGCTGCGATCAAAAGCCGCATTACATACGCATACATACTTTTTGTCTCCTTCCCACACTTCCAACATATGCACGTGTTTGCAAAATGATGACGAGGTGATTTTGTATGGAAAATCATTTAT